AAAAGTTTTTCTCTAACACACTGTAAATATTATAATTGTTATAATTACAGTTTCAATATATTTTACCGTAAATATTATTCCATCGTATATAAAATATATTTACTGAGAAACAAGAGTGTAAATTGAGAACACGTGTCTTTCGTTCACTGTGAACATTTTCTAATTTCGAGAATTTCTAATGGTGTTTTCTTGTTTCAATTTTGTACCGAATGGTAGAGCCTCTCGGAATTAGAAAGTATTTTTTAATTAAACGAAAGCACGATTGGGCCGAAAGAAAACTCGGTACACGTAGCAGAGTTAATTCAAACTAGATAATCGCCTGAAAGAGGGGAAAAAAAAGGAGATACGCAATCGCCGAATACAAACGCAAGAGGCAGCTTGTGAAAACTGCATTTGAACAGTCTTCAACGTGAAAAAATTTGACCGCGGTAATCAGACGTCTGATTTTGAAGAAGCAATAATTGCGAAAAATTTTTTTAACGATAAACGACGACACAAAGATCAATTGAGCATTTTTCAAAGAACATTTTTCGCGTAATTACGTACAAACGACTCCAGAAAGCAAATTATCGGAGAGATTCGAAGATTAATTGGAGTCTTTTCGTTGCAATTTCGAATAAATAGCTTCCTAAGGCAGACTATATTTTGCAAAGATTCGAAGGATCAATTAGAGTAATTACGAATAAATTACTTCAAAAAATAAATTATCGGAGAGACTCGAGGATTAATTGGAGTGTTTCTCTTGCGATTACAAACAAATGGCTCCGAAATACAAGTTATTGCAAAGATTCAAAGATCAATTGGAACTTTTTCCTCGTAATTGCGAGTAAATGGCCAGAAGCAAATTATTGCAGAAGTAATTATTACTTCTCCCACAATTGCGAACAGGTAACTCCAAAAGCGTATTCTAAAAATACAAAAGAGATAAAGATACAAATTCAAACATCAATTGGAACCTCTAAAAATTGAATCATTACAAAGAATTCCAAATATCGATCGCAGTTTGTTCCTCGCGTAATCACTCGTTCGTGATTACGAGTGACCCCGAGAAGCGTATTATCTCAAAAATTCAAAAATCAACTGCAACTTCCACTCTGTGAATACAGACGAGTGACTCCCCAAAAAAACGGACTGTTTTCTTGCAAAGATCCAAGAACCAATCGAACTTCCACGTGATCACGCGTAGGTGATGATCGCGCTACAAAAAGAGAGTGCAAGCATATGTCCGGCGAGGGATTTTCGTGTAGAGACCTAGACCACACGGTATACCGTCGTCGCTAATGTTTGGCCGAGATTTGCATACGTCTGTCTGGCCTATCCATTCCTCGGTGCGCCACTGTGTCTCACCTTGTTGTCCCTGGACGTGTATACGACCGGTTTGGTCCCGAGCCCCCGACGCTTCTCTATCGGCAGCAGACGCTATTGTACACACAGCCCGGCGAACAAGTGACTCACAGCGCACGCGTGTGTACCAGGATGATCGCCCATTACCTCGCCCGAAATAGGGTATTGTGCCAAGAGCCTGTTCCTACGGCGGCTTTCCTACACTTGCGCGACCAGCGCTCGGGCATCGCGCGTTCCTTCGGTCAACTTACAAAACCTAATAACCAGGCCATCAAGACAAAGCAGCTAGTTTGACCAGAATCTGCATCGGAGGATTAAGTACCGGTTGTCTCACTCTCTCGCTTTCTCTCTGTCTCTCTCCTCGTCGGTACTGACAGGGTTTGTCGATATTGTTTCGACGAGGACGACTCCCGGGGCTGTAAATTTCACCACGGTGCTTCCGGCTTCCATGGAATTAAGATTCGTCAGATTCGAGCACCGAGCTTCTTTCGACCGAGGGGTTTCGAGATGGCTCGAGGATAGCTGGAGGGTTCGAGCTCGTTTGTATGGGGAGATTCGAGCGATGGGAGGGTGTTCCAGGATGGTTAGTTTCGATTGTTGGTACCGGCTTTCGCGATGCGAGGATTTTCAGTTCTGAACGTTTGGAATCGTTACACGAGGGTTTCTCGCTAGTTAGCGCATTGTCTGAGAGCGACAAAGCAGATTTGAAGAATCGACGTTAATGATGAATTTGAACGCGCGCGCGCGCGCGCGCGTGTGGGTGTGTATTATTACACATTCGAGTTTCGTTGTCACAAAGACGATACGCGTCTCGTCGTGTGAAATACGGTTTGTCTGCTGGGAGATACTTTGTGACATCTTCACGAATTTTTAATAGTTAAAGAATTGACACGTGCGTTTAGATTTACGAGAAAAAGCAGAAAAGGGACTCCGATCACTTGGTTTTCGCAAAATATTGAACAAACGTGTATCGCGTCGAGTTTTATTCCGGTATCTAACGCACATTGATCATTCGATATATCTTCTACGAAGATGGGAAAAGATCCAAAGATACGTAACATTGGGTACCACAGAGTTCGTTTACATTCGCATCGGATCTTCCGTCAAGTTTCCAGGCTGAAACTAATCAAACCAATCCCAAAATTCCGATGCTAAACGCGAGCTCGCGAGTCAGCCGAGGAACGTGATCGAGCGTGGGCGCGGATTTTTTCCACGCAGGCGAACCCAACCGGGGCCAGTCGGTAACGAGAAACGCAGAGACCCGTGAACGGATTCTGTTGACGTCAGTGGCGGCTAGCGAGCTACCGGGACACCCGTCAATGAGACCTTTCCTGCGGGAAATTCGGTTCTACCGGCACGTTGATTCATGCATGCAAATGGAGGGCCACCGTCGTTGTAACTACAAAATTTCTAGTCACCGCTGACTCCACCTGGTCGCGCAAGGTTTCACGCCGCCATGAGAATTATACAGGTGAAAAAGTTGTTTCCGGAGCGAGTACTATGTCTCTCTCTCTCTCTGTGTGTGTGTGTGTGTGTGTGTGTGTGTCTGTCACTTCCTCTTGGAACATAGTCAACGTGTGCTAGTTTCATTACTTGATTTGATCCGGCAGACTGGACCATGACAAACGCGGCAGCGTGGAACGGCTCTGCAGGACGATGCAGTGGATAAGGGAATTGTGTTTACTCGTAGTTTGCATACTAGTTACCGCGTTTGTCACCCACTTTGCGCGTAACAGGCCCGTAAACATCTTCAGCGAAAGGGGGCCACTCGAAAGTACCTAACCCCTTTGTCCGCGTTTCCTTTCCCACTTCCTTTCGTTCTTTAACTCGCTCGCGGCACCAACCGTGTCGTCTCACCCTAATTTTCTCTCTATTCCCTTCGCGTTTAGCTATTATCTCGAGCTATTGTCCTTCGTTGCCGTTCGCAATCGGCCGTCGCGCACTGAACTCCGGACAGGAAATCGGCTGGATTTAAAACTAGAATTCTAGAATAGATCGCCATCACCGCTGGGAATTATGCTCAACGGTTGACAGTTGACAACGGCGAACGTCTTGCTGCTGATTTCTTTTGACGCCAGACATAAGTACGTAAGTACTTACGTGCATCGGCAGGTGAAAGTTGTGAGATTGGAGATTGCAGTGAAATACGCGTGACATGTGAGATCATTCATCATACACGTATATTTAAATAAAATAGTTCGAAAAGTAATGGTTCAACCCATTCAGTGGACTTTCGATTGCAGTTTAGTAGTCGGAGCTGTTGTTCCAATGAGTAACTCGAGTCGAATTTGCGAAATTTGTAAATGATTTGTCAAAGTTGAAATTATGTATAGTTTCTCCAAGTTATTTCTCAAATAGGAATAACAAATTGGTAAAAGTGATTCATTGATTTCAAACTGTTATTTTGGATCCTTATTTGAAATAAAGTTTGCTTAATCTTGCATATATTTACATGTACATCATTGAAATCTTCGAATTATTTGTTTAACAATTAAGAAGTGCAACTTACACATTTATAAACCAATACTGCAACGAACGAAAGACCGGAAAGAAATTTAGTTAACGATCGAAAATATGAAATTATGAAATTTCAACGACCTTTCGTAAAATAACACTTTCGAGCTCCGAGTTGGAAACACTAACGTGGTATTAACGAGTAACAATATCGGCAAATAAAAAAAAAAGAGAGAGAGAAAAAAAAGGAAATTCAAAATATATCCAAACCAGTGAAATATTTTTCCATTTATCAGATTTTCTGGTTCACAGCGTGCCCGTGCACGTAATCCGATTTCAGCGATGGATAACAATTTAACGTTTCACGTTTCATCCGTTTTCGACTTGATTTTCAACGATCACGATCTCGAGCATGTAACAAACGACTGTCTCCCTCTTTTCCTCTCTTTATCTCTGTTTTGCCTGGAACATCGGTTCTTAACGAGAAATTTGTCGAAACGAATAAGCTTGTGCTCTAATTGAGTATCGCTCAGTGACAGAAATTGTCATCGTCGCGCGTGGATCAATATTTACACTATGATGTAATAAATTTGTAACAATGAGACTTTTGTGGATCGAAGGATCTACAATGCTATACTTGTTGTATAAATAGATTGCAAATGATTTTCGTGCAAATCCATATTTTCGAAAATACACAACAACAGATGGATAGAAAATTATTTTACATACCAAATATCATATATGAAATAATTTCTCGAAATTTTATATTCTACGCGTTTTGTGTAATTTTGCAGTTTGAAATATCTCATAAGTACACGAAAATCCGTAATCCGTTTACGACATTTTCGTTGCGAAATTATATAAAAATCAGCAGTCATGCGACCAAAGAAAACGAGCTATTCTAGTTTTAACGCCAAAGCCATATTCCACGCATTATCAATTCGTGCACGGCTGCAAAATTTCGTATTGGGGGCGCAACCTGAAACGCGCGAGACGAAATGAAATGGGAACGGGCTGGTTCTTGAGTGGCCACAGTTAAAACTTTCAGGACATTTGCATTTAATTTGCTGGTCGTCATATTTTCATTTAAAACAGACGCCAGCCGACTGGTCGATACAGCGGCCAGAGGCTGGCGTAATTTCGCGATCCCATTCACGTGTGTTAAGTTGCGTTTAAAGCGGCCGGCTATTTTTTGCTTGCAGGTAATAAATTCCAGTCGAACCTCAGCGAGATCGGCAAGTCTGAGCAAAAATCGAGCGACCCAGATAGGAAAAGAAACTACAATTGGACTCCAGACAGCGGTAAGCTCTGTTGTTACACGTAACCGTGGACCAATTTCATACGAGACAGCCCGACAGACGCAGCTAATATTCTCTTCACTTCCTTGTTTCGAGGAGAATCGTCGATGGCCATTGCTTTTCACGACCATGCACGCCAGTCCACAATAAACAGCGCGTCGTGCTCCATGGTTTCTTATTATTCCATTTAAATGAGGAAGTGGATGACGATCCGTGCAAATGAGGTATTTTCATTGACCGGGATTTACTCGTTATTTATTTATAGCAGAACTTGGTTTGTATGAAGTATGTACTCATCTCCCCACAGGGAGACAACTAGTTTATGTGCTATATGTAATATTTGAGTTTAAAAAAGCATAACAGCAGTCTGTTCGTTATCTGTGATTTTTCGTTCACATATCACATATCAATGATAAGTGGAGCATAAGTAGATCATGCCAGTACAAATCCCGGGGCGGTTAGCATCGTCGGAACTGTTAAAGCGTGTACGTGAGACCCGAGTTATCGCGTCTCGGAGCTTTTGTCAGAGATTCGCTGCGGATTATGCTGCTGTTGAAGTTGCCGATCTTGTTGGATTAACTTCTTGCCAGGCAAAACGCGAACGAAATTTCGTGTCATACAACTTTCGGTACTACTTTCATACTACTTTCATTCCTTTTTCCTTCTTTTTTCTCTCCTCTCTTTTACGAGAAAGTTACTCGCCTCTTTAAACTTGAATTTTGATCAAAGTTTTTTTTAAGAAATATGTAAAAGAAGATAATCCCTTTCATAACCGCAACGTTAGACGTCTTGTTATTATTATATATAGATCGATTCCTGTGTCACGAAGAGAATTTACATTTCTATGATGACTTTTAAAGTCTAAAATTGCACATAATGCATGTAATATGAAAAAAAGAGACGGAAAAAGAAATGCTCCGAAACGTAGTGATTTTTGTAAATATTTTATATTTAATCCTTTTATATAAGATTTGTGTTTATCGTACATGATAAATAATGGCAGTACTTACGGTACAATAATTTTATATAATACTACAAATATAAAACTTCTCATATTCCATTTAACGTTAATCTTTTCCTTTTATTTTCCGAAATTTCCATTTTATTTTACGGTACAGCCCTCTATATATTATCACATAATATGCTGAAATAATTCTCCACTTCCTCTCGTTATTTTTTTTTTTATTATGTCCGCAGAGACGTGAATTTGCATTAAAAAACCCGCCGTCTATAATAATTATAACAGTGAAAAGGCAGCCGGGGCCGCAGGCAATTTCTCACCCCGATAAAGGATCGTTCCATTAAAAGTATATTCAATGCCCAATCAACGTTTACCCAAGCAGACGTTGCCAATAACGTCGAAAGGAATTGTCAACTTTCCCGATACAACCAAGAATAGCCGGGTGACAATGCGAACGGCGATAGCATCGTCGAACGAGCGACAAACACCCGTTTCGCCCGAGTCTCGTCGAATTCTTTCTCGGCTGCTCATTAACGGAGGAATCGCGGGATCGGGATCGCCGTTTCTCCCAGTCAGAAAAATTAATAATAAACCCCTCGAATAACGCCGATATCGGGCGAAGCCGACAGGATGAGCCGAGAACGAAAACGAACGAGACCGAGCCAAACGGCCTGAAAGCACGAGCCCGGCCAGATCGGCCACGTGAAAATCGAAGCCTGATATCAAGCCCATGGTAGTCGAACCCATTGAAATCTAGCTTCAATAGCCATATAGGGCGAATGAGCGGCGAATGAGCAGCAGCGCGAAGGAAACAAAACCTCGCTCTTCCGCCGGCTCTTCGGCGAAGTTGCGGTTTATCCGGCATTTCGTGGCGGTACAGCGGCATTTAAACGACAGAGGCGACGAGCACCTGGGATGGCAGCTCTGGATCGGGATTAGCACACCGGCTAGAAATTCATCCAGGCCTGCGGCATTATTGAAATATTTCTTTCCCGGCCGTTGCGGATACTTGGCGAGATCCGACCCTCTCGGTCCGACCTGCTCTCTTCAACAGAGAAAAATCCGCCCCCTCGCGCCCTCCTATCGATACAGCTCGACGATCTCCGCTGGCTCTCCGCGGCGGGTGGTTTCTTTTTAAAAGGAATTTGCATAATGGAAAAGTGTGAAAATCCGTTTTCTCCGCGGGCGCGCGATCTCGATAGTCCCGTGGAAGTAGGTAATTTCGCTGGAGGAAAGCTACAGGATGAAAGGGGAAAAAAAAGGACGAAGAAAAAGAGAGAGAGAGAGAGAGAGAGAGAGAGAGAAAGGAGGAAAAGAGAGCAGAGAACGACGGGAACGCGGCCTGTGGGATCGCGTCGCGCGAGCTTCCACAACTTGATAAGTACTTCTAGTTCTTTGGTAGCTCGGGAACCTCGTTGTATCGAAGGTCGAAGCGCGACAACCCCCCTACCTTCCTCATTCCCGGACCACCTTCAGGTTAAATTCGTTTTCGAACTGCGAGCCGGAAGGGGGACCAAACGATATCGAGCTGTTCCGAACTGTCTCGCGCAGGCAATCGCCTCGGACTGTTGTACCCTGCAAGTTTCTAAAGGCGAGGGTCTCTCCCGTTCCATCCCCGGGCTCTCCGCCGCTTTATTAGACTTCGTTGTGCATTCGATTTGGTTAAACAGGCCTTTTTAACTGATTCCTTATCGCGAATCCGAATGGACGAGTCCCTTTTTTCACGTTTGCCCTGTGGAACGGCAGGAAACCGAAGCTGCGTAACCAACGCCGTGACGAAAGAAAAAGAAACTGACGGTTTAAGTTAGGATGAAGATCCTGGCCCTGTAATCTTTTTCTATTCTCTGTATTTCGAAGCAAAATGTGAGAAAATTTTACACGACTCTGCAACTTGAAAAATGTACTTCCGCGCGAGTCTAATTCCAACCTACTAAAAATGTCGAAAACGTGCCCGAGTATTCTCGTTTCTGTATTTTAATTTATTTTATTTACTTCTATTAACTGATTTCTTTGCTCTCGACATTGTCGCGTCGCACTGAACTTTTAAAATATCCGAGCAACAAAAAGCATTGTTTTTTTTTCATAGAACGAATTGATATTAATTTTCTTCATTTGCATTAAAAATGTCCTTACAGCATAGAAGAAATTTTAAGCAAAAATGTATAATTAAAATATAGTCAAAACAATTGTCAATCCAGGTCTAACTTCGTAAAATTAATTTACATAAATCCGTGATTCAGTGATTATTAAACCTATTTTGTATTAAATTCCTTTTCTATCTGAATAATTCGCGATCAAAAAATTATCGGGACGATAATCTCCTTTTGACCGAATGAGAATCAACAAGATTCATATTAAAGAGATACTATATTTCTGTAAAAGCAGTTGCATCACTCGATTACTGACGATCAGTACAATTACGTCGTTGACCATTCTATATATTTGTTCGATCGAAAAGATGTTGACAAAAAAGTGCTATCTCGAGGAACGTTCACATATTCCGTTTGAAAAATTTCGAAATTTTACAAACTGTATTTATACGAACCGGTCGAATTGAATTTACTGTGGAGGAAGGGATGATTTGGGCTAAAATGGTAAAAACAATATTTTTAACACCAAGGCTAGGGCAACAATGAGCTCGACGACTACTGACAAAAACGAAACGATGTTGATTTTGTACATTTCGTTCCAATCCAACGATATCCATTTTACATCCTCGTTTTGTCTGCTCGCTGTGTTTTTTCACGCCGTTAACTATTTCACTCGAAACGCGAGTTTCCTACAACCGAATAGATAATTCATGAGTACAACGTTCCCTGTGATCGCTTGAGTCTGCTGTTTTTTCACCCGGGCATTTAAATAGCGGACGTTTTCGTTTAATTATTTCAAACGCGTCGTCGATGTTTCCACTGGTATGACGACACGTACGATAATAAATAATAAAAATTATCTCTAGCGACTCTGAAGCACTTCTGTACATTCTCCGAGAATACCGAGTAAACTTGAAAAGTTTATTTATTTTTACAGAGAGAGAGAGAGAGAAAGAGAGAGAGAGAAATGACTATGCTTTAAAAAAAAATCTATCAATGATATCACATTTATTTTCAGTTTGCCGTGCGAGGTATTCCCTTTTGTTGTTATGCAGATTTTCTTGTTCAATGTTTACTCTACAATAGCTGCGCATACAACGTCCGTAACAATTTTCCTTTGTGTATTTTAGCTACGAGAGTAAAATTTTGAAAAATCTCGCTTAATTTTTATTTACACATCTACGTGGCCACATGGACATGTTATACTGTAATAATTTCTTAACTTATAATATCGATTCATACCCTCGATGTGGACTATATAGTATGAAAATTCAATTTTTACTTCACATTTTATTTTCAAATTACGAAACTCTATTACTCGATTACTGGAGGTAAATTGTGTAAAATAAATATTTTGTTTAAAACCGAGCACTGAAACATTATCTAAATAAATATTCGCGAAAAGAGAGAATACAACATAATTATTCTGTTTCGAGTATTAAAATATATTGTAAATCCACCGGCCAAAATAAATAAACACCGCCGAAAGCCATATCAACAATGTTCCTACGAAAATGAAATGACCGATTCGTTCAAATACCACAGATTTGCAACATGTGCATTTTAAGAGATTTTAGTGATTTTTCTCAAAATATATAAATATAAATTTCTGCTTATCGCGTTATAAACTTTTGCCTAACTTTTACTCAGGCTCTAAGTTTTCTACTCTCTCATAGCTCGCTTCGTTTATTTTCAATTTAATACTTGTATAAATTTTTACACATTACCTGTAATTCTTTAAGGTAATGTATTCTTTTCTTGAACAACTCGCTGTTCGCCCTCTTTCTAACATTCGACGCTTCAAACAACCAACTCCTTTCCGCCTCGAGAAAAGAAACCACATAGATATTCCTCGACGACGAAAATGATCACCAATGAAAAATTATCAAAAATGAAAGAAGATAAGCTCGATCGGTACCGCAGCCAGCAGAACCCAGGCTGCGAAAAGTCGACGAAGGCGAAACGGACTGGCGGAGAAGAAAACGCGCCGGTGCAAAATCGGTGAGACGAGGAACCGCCCCGGGAGCGATCCAAAAGGAGAGAACGGAGAAGAAAGGGAAAAAGGAGAAAGAAAAGAAGGAAAAGGTAGAAGGAAAGGCGAGCGTGGTGACTACCGCTGGATAGCCTGACAAACAAACGGAAAATGAGCTGGAGGAGAGGACGGCAAAGAGGATGATTGGGGGTGAAGGCCCGCCGAGTTGTTTCTGATTTGTAATTAGAGATGAGTGGGGCTGGAGAAGAATACATCTCTTTCGAAGCGAATAATGACTGAAAGTATGGGCCAGGCCAGCCGGAAGAATAACCGACTTCCTCGTTCCCTGCTCTGCTCGCTCATCCTCCTCGGTCCGACTCGGTTCGTCTGCTTTTCCCTCCCGTCTGTTCGCCGACGCTCGCCCTTCACCGTCGAACGTATCGTCTCGTCGAAGGAGACGAGACGTTCGCGGCCCGTCTCTCCTCCGGAAAACAACGGCCGGACATTTTCAACCGAGGAACTTTTTGATTGTCGAGCAACGCTTTCGGGACCACCAGCGTGATTTTTACGGTCCCAATGCGATTTCCTACGCTGTTGGTTCCTCTTATTTGCTCCTCTTAATACGAGCACACTCTTTCCCTTTTAGCCCCTTCTTCTTCTTTCTTCTTTTTCCTTTTTTTTTTTTTTTATTTTTCGTAAATGGTTAGAAAGAGGGAGGTCAAGAAACTTTCGGTTCAATGATCGCTGGATTTGCGTGGGAAGATTAGCGTGATAATTAATTATTCGTGAAGTCTATTTATCTTTGCAAGTGACGTACGATCGCGTCAAATTCCAAATTTGCATTTAATTATACGTATATCTTATGAATTCTATCTTAATGCCATAACGAAGGAGTATTCTTTCAGTAGGAATCTGTTTTAATACGAGTATACCCATAAAGGATACTCTTAGTTTTATTTTATTTTTCGTAGATAGTTTGAGAAAAGAGTAGAAGCTTTTACTGACTGTTGGATTTTTGTTGGAGGATAAGCATGATAATTGATTGTTCATCATATGTTCGGATCATATGGAATATAAAATGTAGCAGAAGACGATGAAAATACCGAATTTGCATCCAACTGTTATATTACGTACATATTAAAAAATTCTAACGAGAGGATATATCTGATCGATTTCAATGACCTTCAAATATATTACAAAGGCCATTGTTCTGAATAATTTTATTTATATATACTGGATAATGCACGTAACTGCGACGAGCAATATATTTTTAATAGCTAGCTTGATATTTTATTATCTATTTAATAAAAGATTTTAATTTCTATATATATATATATATACACACATATGAAATGACCTTCGTATTACACAGTGTATTACCGAAATCGATGATTCGATCGTATCAACGAGAGACGTCGAAAACACAATTAACATGAATTCAGTTCAATTATTCCAATAGTATCTACGATTTAAAATTAAATTTTCTACTTTCAGACTCAGCCATCGACGTGACAACGACGGGATTGCTTCTGATGATAGCTCTGGTCGTGGTGTCAATCATTCGATAAGCTAAACTGGAAATAGACGCGTCGTTGGACGTCGATCACACGTGTAATTAACCTGGATTTCAAAAGATATAAAAGAACAAGGAGTCAGAGACCGACTGCGAGAGATACACAAACGACATGCGATAACACCAGCGCACACGTACATATGCATACACACATACACATATATAAACAAATATATATATATACATACGTACATGAGAAAAAAGGGTGAACGACTGAGTAGTTAGTGTCGTATTAAAACACGAACGAGCAGGATGATTAATAATAAGAATAATAATTACGCGTGCCAAGCCAGTGTAGCGCAGTGTCCAGGAAAGCAAGACGAAATGAGAGAGATCGTGCGATAGAAAACGAATTTCTATCGACTAATCAGTATGTACGAAACGTAGATGGTAAGAGAAGGGTGAGCAAATCACAAAGTGCAACGACTATCGCTTTCAGTGTAACATATTGTATAACGCCGTAATGTCGCCGCAAAGAACGACACGCCAACGATCTCGAGTTCCGAGCTGAAAGAAAGTCTCCCTCGAGCTTGTTCGAGTTCAAAACTAATAGTTTCGCGAAGTTCTGGTTGAGAAATTCTGTTGGAAAATTCACTCCGATCCTCCTTCATTCCATCTTTTTGGAACAGTTACACGTTATACAAATATTCGAAGAAATACCGTTCTTTTATTTCAGCAGTTTAGAATACAAATGACACTTTCTGAAGATTAATATTCCAAATCTTCCCAGCCGGTAGCCCGAAGATTGTTATTTGGACTGGTATATACTGCGGAATCTTATTTGAGAATTTCTTCATTCCCTTTATTCCCTTTTTTATCCTATTTCTTTCTATCTTTCTACTCGAGATACGAGTGTCTTTTTAAAGATTAATATTTCATCTTTCGAACCAGCAGCTTGAAAATTATTTGTACCGTTTTGTGCAAGAGGATAAAAGTAAAAGCAAAAGTTTTAGTGATAAAAGTAAATTTAAAAAAAAAAATGTATCTTAATATTTAACAGTGAAATGTCATCAAGTGAAATTGTTGCAAGATTGACTATAACATTAAAGAATATTTTTGAATGGAAACATTTTTGATTATAGTCCTTTGTTATTCACTAATATATTTATTTTAATAAGTATTATTTGTAGATATTGTCCTGTATTATTTACATAAGCACATTCGTAATCATTAAAATGCAGATTTTTTATTCAAATTCATATTTTTAGGAACATAATCAAAAAAAATGAAAATTCAATAGAAAATTATTTTACATACTAAATGTTACAGAAAATCAAATTCAAATTTTCAAATTTTTCCTACAAATACACAAAAATCTGCAGCTTAATCTAAAAATGATTAACCAAAACCCAATTGAATGCCCAATCTACATAAATTCAAGAATTTAACCTAGATTATAGTAATCAATTGATTAACATCGACTTACATAAGCAACGTTATTCATTTTGAAGATGCAGCAACGAAAATCAGTAGATATAGAATCTAATTAATTATTTCATCTTGCAAGCAATAGCAACTTTAGTTCTCGTAATCAACATTTTCGTCTGAACCAGTTGAAGAACGAACGCGAGCAATGCAAGCGTAAACTGTCTCCGCCATCGATTTCGTCCCTCTATTTTTTCTTCTTGAATGATTCCCTTCCCCCTTTTCGCTCTATCTGCGAAGTGTTCCCTTTCCCAGTTTTTTCTCTCCTTTCTATCAGCCGTTCCGTTTCTTATACCAAATCGCGGATCCCATCTGGATACTTGAGATTAAAACGTCAGATTCGGTACAGAGGACTTCTTTCATGAAGAAGCAAAGAAAAAAAAAAAAAAAAAGAAAGGAAAATGTGAAATGGAGGATAGTACGTCGGGATATAGGAGGAATATTAAGAGCGGAATATTATTAGTCGCAAATGTCTTCAAATTCGGAAAATGGGACCTTCGACTAAATATATATTCGTTCTGATCACCAGACTGCGGACGGTCACACGTTTTTTTATGAATTTAAAGAAAAATTTATACCTAACATGCAAAAATGCATAAACTCATATAAAATTAACGTCTTTATTTTCAATTATAATCAAATTTTAATAATGACTTTCAGATGTTATTATATTAATAGACGAGACAAAAATTAGATTACATTTTTTTTAATTATGTTCGTAGAAATATCAAGTTGAATGAACATCTGCAGATCACACGTTATTCTTGTTAATAGATAGCAAGACGGAACCTTTGATCGATAATATCTTTGCTACACTCTAATCGTTAAACTGCCAATATTTATACATTCTTGAGAAACTTCTATTAATCATATTATCCTCGTCAAGTTTTCCCATTGAATTTCGAATAAATCTCGGATAAACTCGCCTCCGTCATGTAATTTATTTTTCATAAATCTGATCGATAGAAAAGATTACAAGTGCTTACACTCGGACAAGCTCGACGATGCAACTCTAGAATGAATAAAACCAGGGATCTGCGAGTTACTTGAAGGAATTAATTGAACGAGGAATGATAAAAGAAAAAGAAAGAGAAGAGAGGAAAGCGACGCACCGAGGCAGCTTTCATCACAATTGAATATATTCCTTAGAGGTCTTGTATCCACGTCGACTAGACAGCTGCTCAAAAATCGTACGTACAATATCGACGATGGAAGGAATATCGAAAACGCTTAAAACGAAAAAGAAAATACGAAAAAAAAAGAAGAGAAACAGAGTATATATAAATAACGCGTAGATTATCGATTTTTAAGTGACGACGGAAACAATTAGAGATAAAGGAATTTTATTCTCGCTGTCCGCGGCTTCATTAGTTTCGCGCTAGGGGTAAGCGAATAAAGTGTTTTCATCGGATCCTAACAAAACAGCGAAAGCCTTTCACAAATAATTTTGCAGGTTTATCGGCAACGCGGAATACCACTCAGAAATTTTCGATTCCCAACCAGCTTCGACTGTTGATTGTAATCACGAACGTCAATTTCGATGATTTACGTTTGGAAATAATAATAATAAAAAAAAAAAAAAAAAATAGGAGAATGAGAAACGAGATCGAGAAATGAGAAATAAAAGAGAGAACAATTTTTGACGTTTTCCAGAGTAATTTTTACAGAAAAATCAATAACGCGAAATAAAAAGAGAAAAAAAAAACATTTCGGCACAGAGCCTTTCGATCGATTTTAATTCATCCAGGGTGCTATTGATCTCGAACAGCCGGAAACGCAAATTAATTGTAATTCCGTGCGCATTGAAACGCTCACAAAAAATATTTCTTTTTTTTTTGCGGAGATACACGTCGGTATTTCAATGGAAAGGAAAATAACTGAATAATAACTACGGGGTACGAATGAAAATTCCATTTCGGTTGCACAGAGGAATATTTTGAAATTCAAATGGCATGAGTTTTTAATTCGTTCTAGTCGTGAAGATAATTCGAAACACGCGCGATGTACATACGGGGTGATGCAGAAGTTTCTTCACGTATATGAATTCCTAATGATACGGTCGTGTTTCTTTGAAACAGATGAGCTTGCGAGATAACGTAAATTATTAGGTCAGTCTGTGTATGAAATGTCTGTTGTTCATTTAAATTTTGAATTTGAATGTTTTATTTTATCATCAATCAACGCCCACATTAGAAAAAAGAAAGCTGTATGTTTATTTAATGAGAATATATCGGGATCTGATTATTAGCCATCGTGAATAATTAAAATGTCCGTTTAGTTTTCTTCTAGGTGAAGAAAACTGTTGTGAAAGCTGCTGAAAGTAATTCTTCGATGCACGAAATATTAGAAAATGAATAATTTCATTTCGAGAATTTTTCAATTCCAGAACTGATTAATCTATCTAGAACAACGGAATTAATTGAATCTGAAAAATTGCTTCGATTAAAGAAATTATGAAGGAACACAAGTTATTAAAATTTCATGTATAAAAAGAGCGACATTTCATATTCACCAACCTAATCGTTAAATCGTCGATTAAACAGGACTCTATCGCAAGTTTCATTGAAGGAATCGATCTTTTAATACTAGAACTATCAAAATGATCAAAATGGCCAATTGATAATTTTTCATAGAAATTTTTTAGATTTACCACTATGCATTTTCAGGCATTCGAAAGATTTCTTCGTCGTGTAGTTTTTTTCTTGCTTAAATAAAATTTTTATCATATTTCCGACTTAAGAATGCTCTTTTTCTTTCTTCCAAAAACTATGCCCAAGTAATCTGCTAAATTATTAAAACGAGAAACATTCAAGTTTCGTATTTATCTGCGATGATTGACACTTCGTGAAATTTAGGGAAACTTTTAGAACGTGTATCAATCGCAAAGTTTCATATTTATCTGTAACAAGGACTTGACACTTTATAAAATTCATAGAAACTTTTAGAATATGTGTCGATCCCAATATACAGACTTAAATGTAAATTTTCATCTATCTTCGATTGTTATTATTATTTTATACCAATTAATGTCATGCAATGTCTCAATCTCCACTCCTATTTGAAATATATATAATTATCATTCGAGATTAAACATCACAGAACAAAATTAGATCGACCGGTCGAATGTTGAAGTATATTTTATTCATTCATTCGATATTTACGCGACTCACAAACGACAGTGTACATAAATAAAAGCTCGTGCTGTTCTTTGTTACTCATTTCCTCGTTGCAAATTTCACACTTTAATCGGTTGGTAGTTCTAATATTAAAATTCCTTCGTATAATGTCACGTATCGCGGACAATGTTGACGAAGTTCCGTCGTACAGACGTAACGGTAACGTTCGTTAACTCGTCGCGCGATTAATTTATTCGCGTGTTAATTAACGAGGTTCGGAATTTCTCAGTGAACGCGCAAACACGGTCGGCGGGGCCGCGCCAGTTTAAAGCGGACTTCGAACTACTTAGGAATATCCATTATTCAGCGTACATCTTGTTTAAAGCAACAGGTTCGAGAGTCCCGTAGCTCGACACGAACGGGTTAAAGCCCATGACGGATTAAAAGAAAGGCGGAGCCGAGGGATCAGACTTATTATCGGCGGATCATTTTAATTTCGTTGTCGACTCGAGCGTATAGGAGGGTTGCCCCTCCTAACGAATGATAGATACCGAATTTCCAGCATTCGTGCTTCGATCTCTCCTCCAACCGTGAAAACCACTTCTCATCGTTTCTCTGTAGAAATCGTTACACACATCGTGGAACATATAAGGCACAATAGTAGAGCTGATAGGCGAAATCCTTTGTACATAATATTTTTCGGCGATTAGGGGTGACAGCTGAGTTATTCTTCGTTGACGTAGAAGAAGAGAGGGAGATGATATTTTTGAAGAAAATTTGAGAAGAGAAAAGAAACGAATTCCTCCGAAGAGCAATCTATGGTGACGTTTGTTTTTGTAACGAGTAAATGTAGATAGTACGTGTTGAAGTTCACGTCTTCTTTCTAGAGGACTTCTTTCTCTATCGGACAGCCGACAGGTTTGCTCGCCACGCGGAAATGTTTTCGATCGAAACAGGTATAGACACATATTGCAATCTCTCGAACGGTTTCTATTAGTAGCACGAGCCACCCTGTGTGTCGAGGAAAACGAAAATTCAGAAAAACCACCGACATCCACCGATTGCAGACTATAGAAGTCTCGCCCGAGCAATTATCGCGCGAAATAATTATTCATAGAGTTTCTCAAGTAGGATACGTGCAATAGACACTGAACTGTGCTAATACCGCGGTGTTATTCTTGTAACGACGTTTATTTCTCTTAACCTTCTATAACATCTCGAAAGTGTACAAAATATCCAAAATATGGTGTCGTTTCTACCTTTGCAATTTTATTTTCACGAAAATATGAATTTGCAATTTACAAGCCGGCCATTTATTAATTCCCAGATTTTTAACAGCTAATAATGTAAGTAAAGTTTAAGTTTGTGAATTGATTTGTAAATTAATTAACCAGGTAATAATCTTTCCCTGTTACAATCAATCAAATCAACGTTTTCTAAAAACCAAACGAAACTCTAGTTACAGAGGGTTGTACACTAATCTCACTTCCCGCGATCGATTACGATTACGAATTTCGATGAAGTCGGAAGTCGAGCCCATTCGGATTATTCCTAATTCGTGCAATGTCGCGATTTTTTCATCTAATCATCTAC